GCAATCTAGATCCTATCGCGATCCGCTATCGATATGCGGTTCTGTGGTATACGAGAGGGAAAGAGACGTTTGGGCGAATTAAGGACGATGGGCGAGGTGATTGGCTTTGTCCATTGCGTCTGAAGGACGAGAATGCTGGACGTAAAGGTGTGGAGTTAAGAACGTGCATGCAAAATCGATACTCTTGGAGGTACTATCGTGCAGTCAGTAAGTGGAGTAGGTGGAGTATGTAAGGTGCTGAGCAAGATGTTGGCTTGCCCAGATGCCACCGAAAGATGTGTATAAGAGGGCCAACGTTCCCATTCTCTTTCTCTCCCCATCCATCCCTTCAAAGCAATAGCTTCCTACTGTCTACTTCGCTCAAGCCGCAGTCACTTTCACTCAAATAAGCAGCACCCCTCAATATGCAGTTCCTCAGCCGTACTTTCACTCTCCTCTCTCTTACTGCTATCAGTGCAGTTGCTACACCGGCACCACAGGTTTCAATAAGACCACGTCCGGATGACTGCGTAGGCCGCTGGTGCCAGGTTCTTCCTGAACCATGGTCTGCTGTCCGCAAGAACATATCCTGGCCCTGCCAAGACGACGGATCGTCTTATCAGTGGTGTGTGGCAGGGGGACGTTGTGAAGATGGTGTTGGCTGTCTATGATCAGCTCTTTTCGGTCATGGTGGACGACGGTCAGTACAGTGACTATTGCTCGGTTAATCGCTCCTAATACTGACTCACTGTACAGCTGTAAAGAGCCGGGGGAAGGATGGTACCATGTCCTCTGAGTGCGGCGAGATGACGGGGATTCGTGGGAGAAAGGGTTTGGGTTATGGTATGTGATCTGAAGAGAACAGAAGATGTGTTCGGCAGCTTGAAGAATCCATATCGAAATATAGCTACAAGCATAACCCCATTGTTCTTGATATATTCGAGTCGCGAACGAGTGAGACACATGGAATGAAGATGGTGATTAATGATTCGTACGTTGAGAGGAGAGATCATGTTTCGACGATCAAGCAGCGATGAACCAGTACCATGGCAGAATCTGATGAGACGACAGACTTTGGCAGTGCGAATTGACTCGCTAGGCCTTAACAGAAGGACAATGAACGAGGAATCGCAACTACCAAGTGCATGACGGAGTTGAAACGACCCGACACAGCATGAAGCGCAAACTGATACGGGCAGACAAACTGACGCGTAAGGTGACGTGTACTTGCCATTCTCGAGGCCGAACGGAAATTCGACGAACAATACCATCGCTATTATCAGTGATGCATAGTTGTCCTTGGAATGAAGGCTGTGTGAGATCTAGACGGGTTACCTCATGAGTACCAGGTCAGCTGGTAGACGTCACGGTGTCTGCAAAGCAATAGCTTGTATGTTGGAATGTTCCAAGTCGCCAATGGAAAGAGATAGCAGTCGATACGACAGACAGCTAACGTCTTGAAATCGTGTTAGCGCCCTGCACTCCTCGTGATGCTGATTGACCAGCGCATACCCAGTACCAACAGCATGATCTGCATCCGCACTTCTATTTCAAGCCTCGTATATGTGCAGTTGTCGAATGCCGCTCGACGTAACGTCTGCAGCCGCCGAATCTCCCGTGTTAAGTAAGGGGCTGAGCGCACCAATGGTCCCTCTCACATTCTTTCACCGATCAGATCATATCTTCTAGAAAGACAGGGGCTTCCAGAAGGCCACCCTTGGGTAATGCACAAGTCGAACTGTTCCGAGCCTTTCGGTGCTTGATGTACGCTCCGATCTTGCCGGATTGTGGCCACAGGAGCGCGCAGCATGCCAGCGCATCGTATGTAGTAGACCCTGTGGAATATGAGGTATGTTGGTATGTACAGAAAGGTATGTGCTTGCTGCTATCAGACCATGTAGACGCGGGGTGGTCGTCATGTGTGGCATCTTGACTGCATGGTGGCTTTCCCTGGGCCCGACCATTGGAACTATCGGTATCTGAGGGTAAGGCTGCGCCTGCTGTAGACTGACCATGATGGCCCCGGGTCAAGACGTGGCTTTTCCCAGTGTGACGTTCGTGTTCAAGAGGCGCCCAGTACACTGAGCCGCAGGAGCTGAATGCGACTGTTTGGGTCTTGCGGCGTCTATTGAACACGCTAGGTCAACGTGGCTCTGTAGTGCCTCCAGGGGCGCTGAGTGTAGCGAAAGATGGCCTGATATCGAGACAGCATAGGCAGAGGAAGTCTGGTCGGTGGAGCGCAGACGTCATTTGTAGGCATGCACCTAGCCTGAAGGTTTAGCACGGGCTCATGCAAGGACTTCGGGTGTACTCTGCTGTCACGCTTTGCGCGATAGTCGTTGCAAAGCGTAATTTGAGGCATGCAAGTCCGTGCGATATTACCGCGTGATGGAGATAGCACGGGTGTGGGTTCAGGTTGTTTGGCGAGGCTGCAATTGAATAGAGTGAAACGAGTGTGGGATCCAGGCCTTAGGCAACCACCAAGCGCATATCGCAGTGGGTGCAGTGATTTCAGGTTGGCTGAAGAACCTTTGCAGGAGACAACGCGAAATGCTGTAAACCATATACGACTGGTGCCATGATGCGTCTTCTCGTGTAAGCTAGGGCGGGAGACTGCATTGGTTGATGGTCTCCAGCCACGACGCTGTGCAACTCTCTGCGCAGCCATTGCCGAGGGTAAGGTACGGAAAGACGACGCCAGACGCGAAGACTGGCAGACGGCGTCATAAAACGACCAAACCATCCAACGTTACCGACCAAGGTTTCAGCGACAGGGTCCATCAGGGTCGAATGCGAAAGCGCGGAAGACGACGCTGTGTTCGGCCAGGGTGAGCGATTGGTAACTTCCGGGGGATTTGTCGGAGCCTAAGTGCGACAGCAGTCAACCAACAAAGCGTTTGACATGTGCGCGTGGTGGGTTCGCCGGCGGCAGTCCCAATCAATGAAGGGTGAAACCTCCGCTTTCCGCAAACTCTAATGGCATTTACTTTTGCGAGTCGCTCCGGGCTGCGGATAGAACGGGCGTCCTCATGCACGATTCGGCGGTACGTGATCACCACGAGATGGACTCGGCATCGACAAGCAAGGGCAGCGTCTGACTGCGATTAGATGTCCAACACGTCGAAACAGCGCGCAGGATTTTGTTGGCAGCAGGAAGCGGATCTGATCGCCCCCGGCCCTGAGGAGGGCTGCAACGGGAGAGTGCGCATCCCGGCCGTTGAGGAAGACAGGAATACTGGGGCTGCATGCTTCCGATAATGGAGGGGGCGAATCAAGGTGGCTGGAACGACGGGTAAAGGATCCCACTTGGCGCAATCCAGCAGAAGGGCAGCAGGGGCATGTCAGCCACGGTGATCCTTTGCGAGTGGGCCGTTTGCTGCCCACTGCAGGCTGCTGGAATCCGCCTCGCTGGCCATTGGTTTCCAGCGTCCCAGCCGGCAGTCAGTCAGCAGCGTCGCATAAAAAGCACCGTTGGAGAACCGTTCATGGGGGCGGTCAGCACTCTGGCAAAAGGACGATATGGGGCTGGAAAGAGTAGCGAGGAGTCGACATGGATAGTGACGAGCATCAGACCATCTGGCTGTTGTGTGCGCCAGCCATTGTCGCACGGCACAGTGTGCTTGGCCCAGGCGGTATCTCCCGGGTACCCTGGCACCATGCATCCCCAGGCGGGCCTACTACAGAAACCGGCTCTCTACCCAGACGTGGCGCCCAGCTGAGATGGGCAGCAGTGCAATTTAGTGACATCTGGATGTAGGAGAGGCGAATGCGAAGGTGACTAGTATGGAACACACTGTGCTCGTAGGAGGGAGTACTTCTGAGAGTAGTATGGCATGTGCGTGCCTTGTAGCGTAGGCATGGCGCCAAACCCAAGGCGATGTGATGGGACGACACCATGGTTGCCCATCGAGAGCCGGGAGCTGGAACCGTGTGATCGGTGGGCTCTGGCCTGGCCGGCTAGTTTAACTTTGGCAAGACGCGGGCCAATATGTTTCGGTTCCCGCTTGGTGCTCGCTTCGGGGCGCACGAGTCAGTGCAGGTGGTTGTGCCCAGGTGGTGGATGGCGGGCGTGCAGAGAGGAAGGTGTGGAGAGCAACGCGCTCCTTACCATGGTTCTCGTCAGTTTCTCGCGATGCAAGACGATGCACGATGACTGCGCCTTGCCGTGGTGGTACTAGGACTGCAGCTTCTGCGCGCGAGGCGTCCGCGGAGCCTTCATGGGTTGCAGGCGGGTGAGGCTTCAAACCAATAGCCACAGCACACTAAGCTGCCTTTGTCCGGCTAAAGTGTCAGTGCAGATGAGCCTGACCCAGCGGGCCTCTCAGCCGTCCCCTCTCATAGCCGCGTGCCCTCAGCTCTCCCCATTCTTCACATATCCATCGCCGACTCTTGCACTCTCACTGCAATTGCGGCTCCCGACGACCGGTGCTGTTCTCGCTCTGCCATCTGTCTCGGAGGATCCTTTTGAGCATATTTGACTTGGCATCATCTTAGCCAGCCTCGCCGTCGCGTCTCCCAAGCTTTCTGCTATCTGCTTTCTGGCCCCCAGCACCCGGCCTCAGCACCACCCAGCCATCGACCGCAGCACCGCAAAGACATCCATCTCTGCGCATCCCCCACTGCACTGCTCCTCTGCTCGACTTGTTGCTTTGCGCATCATTTTTGGTTGATTTTCCACGTCTCCATCGGTAAGTTTTCCCAGCGAGTCCCGCCCGCGCCTTTGGGATGCCGACAGATTGGGCACGCGTCAGCCAGCGATGCGGCGTTGGCCCTGCGGCGCCCACGAGTCTGTCGGAATGGCATTGTCAAACACATGTGCTGACCACTCCAGACTGTCTGCTACCGTGGTTCACTCCAGCGTAGCTGTTGTTCTAGCTCGTTCAAAGTACCCATTGTGTGGTCGCTGATGTAAGTGTTCCCTGTGGGTGGGTGCCGCGAGGCAGTCCCTGGCGTCGACTCACCCCGACTCCACGACGACTCCGCATGCTGACTCGCTGCAGACAAGACACATCGCACTCATGATGTCCAACATTGCTGTCAGCCACGAAAACAAGAGCCAATTCATCCGCACCACCAAGGATGGTCGCACCATTCGCTACAATCTGCAGGTAATCCAGCAGCCCGAACGTGCGCGTGCATGTGGTAGCGGCGCAAAGTCGAGTGCCGATCGCCGACCCGTGGACCCTCCCCCGATTGTCGAGCTTCGCATCTACGAGAACGACCAGGACATCACCTTCGCCTACAATGCGAGTTTCTTCCTCCATGCCAGTCTCGAAAATGCGCGCGCCATTGCACATGGACGCACCCAGTCCTCGGCAGGCCCCAGCTTTCCTGTCCTGACCGGCACCCCCGTCGCAGGCATGGCCTACCTCGAGCGCCCTACGCCCGCCGGCTACTTCATCTTTCCCGATCTTTCAGTCCGTCACGAGGGCAAGTACCGCCTGAGTTTCGCTCTGTTCGAGAACTTGGCCGAGGTCAAGGACCTGGACCCTGGTGACCCAGAAGTCATCTTCGACGGCAACCACTTTGTCTCCCACCGTGCTGAGGTTAGATCATCGCCATTCACCGTCTTCTCTGCGAAGAAGTTCCCTGGTCTGTCCGAGAGCACAGCCCTAAGTCGCCAGGTTGCCGAGCAGGGCTGCCGTGTTCGCATCCGTCGCGATGTGAGGATGAGGCGCCGCGAGAACAAGTCGTCCAAGGAATGGGACGAGTATGATGAGGAAGGTGGTGGCTACGACCGCGCGAGAGGAACAGCGACCCCCGAAAACTATGGCCAGGCACCAAACGCCCCTCTCGATGACCGTCCGCGGTCCGTCTCCAACGCCAGCAATCCGTCGCTGGCACCACCCCGCCGTCCGAGCATGGAGGAGATGGCACATGGCTATCCTGCCAGCAATGGCTATCAGCAGCAGATGCCACCGCCGCAGAACCCCACGTACACGCAAATGCCTTCGTATGCATCGAGCCAGCAACACCAATACTCGCAGCAGTACTCCGCTCCCCAAACGCCTTCCATGATGCAACCTCCCCAGCATTCTACTGCATACTCGCAACACCCGCAACATTCTCAGCACGCTCAACACGCCCAACACAGCAGCTACTCGAGCCAGCAGCAACCTCAGCCCACAATGCCCGCAAGCCAGCAATACAACTACTCAAACTACCAGCAGCCGGCGCACTACGACCAGGTTCCTCCTTCTCGTCAGGAACACGTTCCCGCCGAGTACGCTCAGCCAGTCGACTACCGACGCTCGTCTGTGACCCAATCGTCGCCTCAGCAATACTCCGCGCCCAGCCATGCAGTGCAATCCTACAGCTCCATGGATCAATACAGTCGACCACAGCAAATGAGCCAGCCACTGCAACCCCTGCAGCCCCTACACACCTCACCACAGGCTTATGCTTCGTCTACACCTAGTGCTGTGCACACTCCCAGCCACCAGCCGCTGCCATCTTTGAGGCCCATCGTCGCCGAAAAGCTGGAGCCCGTCTCGCCTTCTTACCAGTCACCGCCCGGTACCCTTTCAGCTACCATGTCGGTCAACTCTGACGGGTCCAGCCAGAACTATGCGCTGCCCAAGTTCAACGCCCAGGCACAGGGTCTTCCGCCCATGTCGGCTGGATCAAGCAACAAACGTTCCTTCTCCAGCACATTCGACTCCCGCCACTTGAACGAACGCATGGTGTCTGGCAGCAGGCCACAACCCTCTGGTGCTGGGTACAGCTACGATCCTGCCGACTCTCCGGATATGGAGGAGCCAATGGACCGAGCGGCCATGAGCTACCGGCGTGCGGACGGGACACAACGGCAACGTCATGTACCCGCAGTCGGTCATTGAGTTGTTCTCTGCTGACGGCCGCGTAGCTCTGATAAGACCGGCCCCCAGCATGTACGTTGCATAAGGATCTGTTGTAGGAGTACGGCGTTATGTGTGCTGTTACGGATCTAATGTGCTCTGATCATCTATACCCCCGAGTACGACGAACGTGCGATCTCGCCACGGCAGTCTTTCCTATCTCGTCTCCAAGCCCTGTCTTTCTATGCTTTATTACATATACGTCAGCTATTAAGCTGCACACTACCATTTCTTTTCACTGTTACACAAAACATACTACCCACATACCCCACCTCAAGGCAAAACGCCCTCTGTTTCCTTTCAATCTATTATTCCTACCTTGTACTTTGTCTGAATGTGCTCTACAGAACACGCGGCTCAGCAAATTGAGAACTCTGGCATTTCCTTCTATTGGTTAACGGAACTGTGGCTTTATCCTTAACGGCTTCATGTCGCCGTCCGGAAAATCGGATGAGATAGTATACGCATGAGCATGCAACGAGGGAGGCTGCTTGTGATTTGCATAGATTCCGTAGGCTCAATCATGGCACACAGTGCGCTCTTGAACTTTAGTTTTGGTCCCCTTGCGTGAGCAATACATGCTGGGGGTGCGCTCTAAGTCCATGCTACGGAACGGATACATCTCGCGTTGTCTAGTCCGCCTCCAGAGTACCCCTCCACCTTACCCCGCGTCCCAATACAGATCAACACAATCACGCAATTTGCCAGCGCCCTACCAGAACTCGCGCCATGCATCCGACGAGTACAATGTGACTGTCTTTTACACATAATAGGAAACGTAGAGCTTGAAGTTTTTCGCATTATACCGCAAAGAAGACTGGCTTACCTAAAGCTAACCTGTGATGGTATGGTACGAGCGTGACAGGCTTCGAGCACACTTCCCGCCATGGGAAGCTACGAAGGAGTGCCCGCGGGCTCTGGTTACAAGTGTGATCCACACCCGCGTGGGCAAAAATGACGTGACGGACGCGACTTTTGGCACAATTGATCCTCTGAATCTCCCCTCTTTTCGCCTTCCTCTCCTGCATCTCCAAACGTTCTCGTGAACATTTAGGACTCTACCACCAATTCATATCGCCGCTGTGCATAGTTGCTGAATTGTAAAGCAACATGGCTGAGGAACTATCCAAGAACTTCGAGACGCTGCAATTGCACGCTGGTGAGCGCTTTTCAGCTTCTCTTCAGGCACATGTACTCATACAACATTCTCAGGCCACGAGCCAGACTCAGTGACAAACTCTCGTGCCGTACCCATTTACGCGACTAGTGTAAGTTCTGGAACAAAGTGGGCCTCAAATGACACTCATGCTGATACGAATAGTCTTACACGTTCAATGACAGTGCTCATGGCGCAAGGCTCTTCGGACTAAAGGAGTTCGGCAACATCTACAGCCGCATAATGAACCCCACCGTCGATGTCCTCGAGAAACGTGTCGCCGCACTAGAAGGCGGTGTTGCAGCACTGGGAACAGCGTCTGGCCAGTCCGCCCAATTCATCGCCATAGCTGCTCTGGCGCACGCTGGAGACAACATCATTGCAACCTCAAACTTATACGGAGGCACATACAACCAGCTCAAGGTCTTCTTCCCGCGCCTGGGAGTGCAGACCAAGTTCGTCAACGGTGACAAACCGGACGACTTCAAGGCTGCGATTGACGAGAAGACCAAGGCGATCTATGTGAGTTTTTGCGAATAATTGTTTACAAGCTGGCTAACGTCCCAAAGCTTGAGAGTATCGGAAACCCGAGGTACAACGTTCCCGACTTTGAGAAGATCGTAGCGATTGCGCATGAGGCTGGCATTCCAGTTATTGTTGACAACACGTTTGGTGCTGGAGGATACTTCTGCAGGCCTATAGACTTTGGCGCTGATATTGTCGTGCACTCTGCGACAAAGTGGATCGGAGGTAACGCTCACTTCGTCCTTGAAAAGAAGGCATATATTGACCGAGACGACAGGCCACGGAACCACGATTGGTGGTATCGTCGTCGACAGCGGAAAGTTCGACTGGGGCAAGCACGGCAAGCGCTTCCCGCAGATGGTCGAGCCATCAGACGGCTACCACGGGCTCAAGTTCTGGGAGACTTTTGGAGCCATTACATTCATCATGCGAGCGCGCGTTGAGATCCTGCGAGACCTAGGCGCAGCGCTGAACCCCTTCGCCGCCCAACAACTCATCCTTGGTGTCGAAACTCTTTCTCTACGATGCGAGCGACACGCATCCAATGCACTCAAGCTGGCGAAGTGGCTCGAGAGCAACAAAAACGTGAGCTGGGTATCGTATCCAGGTCTCGAGAGCCATCAATCACACGAGCTAGCGAAGAAGTACCTGCCGCGTGGGTTCGGAGGCGTGTTATCATTTGGCGTAACAGGAGGTGGTGCAGCAGGCAGCCAGGTCGTAGACAACTTCAAGCTCATCTCCAACGTAGCGAACGTTGGCGATTCCAAGACGCTGGCTATCCATCCTTGGACGACGACGCACGAGCAGCTGAGTGACGAGGAGAAGATCAACTCAGGTGTTACTGAGGTAAGCAAACATTGCTTAACGAGCCAAAGTGATTACATGCTGACAGGTTACAGGACCTCATTCGCATCTCGGTTGGCACAGAACACATCGACGACATCATTGCCGACTTTGAGCAGTCTTTCAAAAAGTCGGCAACGGCGCCAGCTGAGAAGGGTCAACCTGAGAATGCAACAAAAACAGGCGGCGGTGAGCCCTCTGCGTCCCTGTCGGGAGCTACATAGGAACGTGGTACTGAGGCTGTTGCTCTAGAAACGCGAATAGCGATTCCGAGATTGTAATGAGATGAATACCTAATGGTAGCCCCGGCATGTTGTGGCTGATAGGCTAGACGCTTGATACCTACACTACTGTTATCTATTGCGCAGCGTGAAGTCTCTCCGTGGTGTCCTCGTACGAAGTCGTTACATGTCTCTTCTAACCCTTGGCCGCGCACACGCAGCATCTCAAGCCGAGGCATCTTCCCTACCGGTGGGCTCCAGTACCGAGATCCGCTGACCAATCAGCATGGAGCCGTCTACGTGGTCGCGAAGCAAGGATGGTTACCCCAGGATCTGATCTCGACAACATGTGAAAGCCAGATATCTAGCACATGACGCATCTGCGCATGCAAACGCTCTCGTCATCCCATATGCGCCAGCCCTCTCGCTCAGCGGTACACCCAAGGCAGCGCGGCGCCCCATCTCGTTCCCCGCAAACACATGCCAAAAGGTGCCTGCTCCGGAGTCTGGAGAAGAGCGGGATGCCCAGACATCGGGGTTTCAGCTGCATCCAGCGCACCTGACCGGTAGCTTTCGGTGCAGGAACTTGGCTCCAGTTTTCATCTTGGTCGCAATTGGACGGGCGCGCGACATGACGACTTTGCCGAGGCACGTTTTGCGCCGCCATGGGAAATTGTGGAGTTTCTGGCTTAGTCCCGTATGATTACGACCCTTGCCTTTAGGGTTCGTTGCGCCTGATTCCCATCTTCCACTGCTGAGTTTGAGCGCGTTGCCCTTTCTCGAGACGTGTTGCATCTTCTCTTTACTGTTAGCTGTAGCTGAGGAGAAAGCGGGAGTCCTGGCGTAAAGCTATAGGTATGTGAGGTCATCTGCCATGTCGCAGCTGGAAGCTAGAAGCTTGGGGCTGTCCCGGACACGCCGACTTCGCCCATGCGCGACGTGTTTACCAAGAGCTCTGCTGACGTTTGATATAGAGTAGACTGTCTGTCATCACCTCGCTGGTATCACCTTTACACGTTACACGAAGCCGTCCTCGACCGAAGCGGAAAGAGCGACCACTCGAAACCGACCTAGCCGAACACACGCATACGCAGAGATGTTCGGATCTATAGACCCTCAGTTGGACCGCGCGGAGGAGCTCCACGGCCCTCCGGCGAAAGGACAGCCATACAGCGTGGCGTTGCCAGGCTCAGAGGCAGAGGGAAGGAGCGCCATCTACAGGCATTGGAGGTTTACGGACAAGCCTCTGCTGGATCACCTGGTCCCTGAGATTAGGACACCCCACGAGGCATTCGAGAACTCGGTCGCCAAATGGCCCAAGAACAAGTGCCTGGGCCACCGCCCCTACGACACCGCCACCAAGACCTTCGGTCCCTACGTTTGGGAAGACTACGAGACAGTCGCCAAGCGGAGAACGAACTTTGGCGCCGGCCTGGTACATCTGCACAAACAAGCTGGCGTTACCGCGCCAAAGTACGGTATTGGACTGTGGTGTCAGAACAGGCCGGAATGGCAGATCACGGATCTGGCGTGCATGTCACAAGGACTCTACACTGTTTCCATCTACGACACGCTAGGTCCAGACACGACCGAATACATCATCAACCACTCTGAGCTGTCTTGCGTGGTTGCTGGAGTGAACCACGTTACTGCGCTGTTGAAGCTGAAACCTCGATTGCCTTCGCTAAAGATCATCGTGGTCCTCGACCCGCTTTCCGCTGGCGAGCTTCCCGGAGAGTCCAAGGGCGACATCCTGAACTCGCTTGCGAGCGAACAAGGTGTGACAATCCACTACATCAAGGATGTGGAAGCTTTGGGCGAGAGGCAACCGATCCCGATGAACCCTCCTACACCTGAGGACATTGTCACTATCAACTACACATCTGGCACTACGGGAAACCCCAAGGGCGTCGTTCTGTCTCACAGGAACGCGCATGCCGGAACATGCACATCCATGGTCATCATGGGTAGCAGTCCTAACGAGGTCATCTGCTCTTTCTTGCCCCTGGCACATATTTACCAGCGGCTGGGAGAACACAGTGGGCTGGCAACTGGTGCTGCTATTGGTTACTTCCATGGAAACATCGCAGAGCTAGTAGATGACTTGCAGATGCTTCGACCGACCATCTTCTCTGGTGTACCCAGGCTGTACAACCGCTTTGGAGCTAAGATCAAGGAAGCAACCGTCCAAGCCACTGGCGTCAAGGGAGCACTATCCCGACACGTGGTATCGACCAAGCTGGCGGCTCTCAACGACAAGCAAAACCCTACCAACAAGCACATGCTCTACGACCGCATCTGGGCTAAGAAGGTTTCTGCTGGTCTTGGACTGGATCGCGCAAAGGTGCTTGTTAGTGGCTCTGCGCCCATTGATCCCAGTCTGCATCAATTCCTCCGCATCGTCTTCGGAACCAACTTCACACAAGGATACGGTCTTACCGAGACTTACGCCGTTGCACTCGTCCAGCACGAGGGCGACTTCTCCGCTGGCAACTGCGGTGGTGTTGGACCGAACACGGAGTGCGCTCTGCTCGACGTCCCTGACATGGAGTACATGTCCACCGATAAGCCGCACCCTCGTGGTGAGCTGCTGATCCGCTCTGCATCGCAGTTCAAGGAGTACTTCCGCAACGAGGAGGAGACTGCCAAGGCGATTGACGCCGATGGTTGGTTCCACACTGGCGACATCTGCTCCGTCGACGAACTTGGTCGCTTCAAGATCATCGATCGCAGGAAGAACGTCCTCAAGCTCGCACAGGGAGAGTACATCTCCCCCGAGCGGATCGAGAATGTGTACCTTGCAAACTGCAGCTACCTCGCTTCTGGCTACGTTCATGGCGACTCGCATCAATCCTTCCTCGTGGCCATCTTTGGTGTCGCGCCCGACATCTTCCCACAATTCGCATCCAAGGTGCTCGGTGAGAAGATCCCAGAAGGTGATATAGCTAAGTTGAAGGAGGTCTGCAAGAACAAGAAGGTCGAGCAGGCAGTACTTAAGGAGCTGGAAAAGGTGGGACGAAAGAACAAGTTCAACAGCTACGAGCGCGTTAGGGCTGTGCGGTTGTTTGTTGATCCTTGGACCATCGAAAATCAACTTTTGACCCCAACGTAAGTTTGACTTGACATACTACATAGACATCTCACTAACACTACGCAGATTGAAGTTGAAGCGCCCGCAAACCGTCAAGGCTTTCAGGAAGGAGCTGGACGACTGCTACGAAGAGGCACTGGCCGAGGAGTCGAAGGCCAAGGCGAAGTTGTAGAGAGCGGAACTGCATGTTTGGCGTCTGGCGGCCGTACGAGGATACCTAGACAGTGATTGCATGGTTGCTTTCCTAGCGCGCGGGTACTCAGGCACCCTGTGCGAGTCATGGTACCATGGAACTACACATAGATCGGTCGATTGAGTGTACAGTAGCGGTAATACTACAAAGTGAACATGTTCATCCGACCGCTGTGGAGATTTCCCGGCTGATGTGCTGGTGAAGGGATAAAAATTGCAAGCGGTGAACGATAGCAGACAACGTGTCACGGGCCGTAGTGGAGGGTAGCGAGCAATGAGTGGGTGCCAAGTCACGCATTGACAGGGTCCTCCTCACCTCGGAAGCCGCAGCCAGTAATTGTCGTGTCCGACGCTGCAACCAGCGATGCAACTTCTCGACTAATTTCTGCACAAAACAAACACGCAGGCTCCTCCGCTATACACCCTCGACCCTTCTCCGCCTTATTGTCGCCTCGCCGCTTCCTCGAGGCGCGCTCCCTTATCTCCACCACCTTACTGTATCTTAGCGCCGCGAGCACCCCGACGGATGCCCATTACACGCGCAACGGCTTTGGCCATGAGCGACGACGCCGCCGATGAGTCGACACAGCCGCGCGCGTCGCGCTTCAAGGAACACACAAACACCAACGGCAGCATACGACCGCCGCCGGACGAGCTATGGAAGGACATCGGCATCGAAGAGCTGATCGAGCAGTTCAACGAGGAGAACGCGAAGCCGCCGACGTCGAGAAAGAGCTCTGCGAACCGCATGCCCCGCCTGGTCAAGTCGGCTTCTTCGAGGGCAGCTTCTGGCAGCGGGACCCCTACGGAATCCAGCTTTAGCACAAGCGTCCAGGCATCGGCAACCGCGCCGACAGAGACGACATATGCCCGCCTCCAGCGCGCGTTCGCTTCCATGTTCGGCAGTGTTCTGGGCAAGCGCAAAGCTGGGAACGCAGACGCGGAGCGAGAGAAGGACCAGCACCAACAACTACTCGACCAGCGCAAGAGGGATGCCGAAATCGCCTACCATGAGGCGAAGGACCTGGGTCTTCTCCCTCAACCAAAGGTCTTTGTACGACCCGCTATGAGGTCGCGGCAATTTGGTACACCATCCCAGCCTGTTGCCGCTGAGAAGATGCAGCTTGGCTTGACCGCAGCCATGGCCGAGGCAGCGACCCCAATCCGTACACCGCGAACGCCGACCCTCCGCCACACCCCCAGCAAGAAAGACCTGCACAAGCAGAAGAAGCTCACGAAGCGCGTCTCTGACCTCGAGTACAAGCTCGCCTCTGCGAAGAAGGAGCTCCAGACCGTCCTCTACAACGACATACCGCCCGTCCCACGCATCCCCGACTTCGCACCACCTACCCCCGACGTTACCCCTAGCGAAAACGAAGACCCGTCACGAAACACAACCCCCGTCGAAGTTGAGCCACCCGCCAGCATCGGCAAGATCGTAAAGAAGCGCAAAGCCACCATCCACGACTCGGACGGCGAGTACAAGCCCATACCCACCGACTCCGAAGGCGACATCGACATGCTCTCCGCTGCATCCGCCTCTGAAGCCGAAGTGTCGGAGCGCACTGAGCGCAGTATAAAACGCGTCAAGAGCACCGCGAGCAAGAAGAGTCCTGGCAGACGGTCTAGCTCGAGGCTCACCAAGCGCTTCTCAAGGAGTAATCTGAAGAGCGAAGAGCCTGTGCGTGTTGTGCCTGATGGTAAGGATGTACCTGACGTGCCTAGTATACCGCGTGAGATGGAGAGCAAGGGCAAGAAGGTCAAGGTTGGTGATGATGGGTTTGGGGGGTTGGGCCATGAGATCTTTTGACTAGAAGATTGATGATACGTTTGGAACATGTTGAAAAGCTTGCTTTACACGAGGATACTCAGGAGGTTTGTCGCATCATCAGCCTGGGAATATCTTGCATAGCACATGGAGTGTGCGGGAAAGGCGTTCCCTGGATATCTTGTCACTCTTCCCCTTTCTTCTTTTCAGGTCCTTTTCCTTTTTGTCATTCTTCATTTACATCATCAGCGTTCCTCTCGACTACTCGCACTGTGTGCGGGACTGGAGTTGCTATACTTCTTGTATCTGTCTTGGTCAGAGAATTTGGTCTTTTTCCCATTAATGTCTGGAGCATTTTGTATAGGTATTGTCTATGCATGAAAGCGACGAAATTACGACTTAATAGCATACAATGGCATAATATCTATTCTTGGACAGATTGGTGTTGGGGGGTTCAAGACTTGGAAATGTACTACTTGCATCTGGGAAAATGTGTTCTGAGACCGAGATTGGTAGCTTGTAAGGCACTCTTCTGGTATGTGCACATGTCTTAGTGCTTTGGATCATGACGCTGCTGTAGTCGCTTGTCGTCATGCAAGACATAGTAAGACATGCTCAGACACATGTCTCTAGACATCAGAAGTCTCAGACCGACTACGACCAAGAGCGATATATCTACCTTACCAGAGGCTCACATGCAAAAATATACACACCAGCAAGACACCAAAATACCATAGCAAGATATCCAGAACACCATCCAACCAAACAAACGTCAATCGCACAACATGCCCTACCACCCCGACTCAACATCCCGCGCCCTCTTCATCCGACACCACATCCACACTCCTACCACCCTGCAAGAAGTCCTCTGCTCCATATGTCGCCAGCGCTGCACCGACCGCCACCAAGTCGTTCAGATCACTGCACATCCGGAATGCCAGTGTGTGTTTGGCGAGACGTGTCTGCTGCAGTGGTTGAGATCTGGAAGTGCGGCGAGTGGCACTTGTCCGAGTTGTAGGGCTGTGCTGTTTAATAGGGGTGTTGATGATGATGAGGATAGCGATAGTGATGAAGATGGAGACGGAGATGAGGACCAGGATGAGGACAGCGAAGAAGGCGAGACTCAAGGCGACAATGCACGCGGACGACAGCGAACAAGACAGGAAAAGGGGCATCGCCCTCGTCGCCGTAGAACGCCTTCGTCTTCGCGCCCAATATCACGAGCATCCTCCTCAGCCTTTTCTGCCGTTGTCTCCGTCACAGCACCACCTCGCTCTTTCCACCGCCGTCGCCGCTCCCCTTCTCCGTCTCCGTCCCCATCTTCATCAGCCACCTCACACACCTTTTCCGCCCCATCCACACCCACGCTCAACCCAACCCTCGCAATCGACACCCTAGTCACCGACCTCTGGGCCGGAACCTGGGATCTCGTAACAGAAAGCTGGTCGCTAACCCCAAACGACGCTTCGCGCTCACGTAGCATAACCCGCGCACAACTCATCATGCTGGTCCGTGATGTCAATCCTTTTGAGGAGGAGTTGGAGGATGCGGTGGTTGAACATCTTGTTGTGAGAGCGAGGAAGATGGTGGTAAAGCATCGGCGGAATGGGGAGTATGCCGATGGAGGGGAGTTGAGGGCGGAGAAGGAGGATGTCAGGTTAGCTGTTGGGTATGGGGTGTAGATGGTCCGCGGGCGTGTTTGCTTTTGCGTGTGTTTAATTGTTGTACGTGGTCTAGATCTCGTGTGTAACTTTGTGGAGTTTGCTTTTTTGTTATATTGGTTCATTGGAGTGTTGTCACATGTGAATTCGAGGAGGGTAAGCGATAGGGTCATACAGCAAATCTATTCCATTCACACAACCTGTCTAGATACTGCATCTGGATAACGAAAGCAGCAAACCTCACATTACACAGCGCCTATCAACTTTAATGCTTCCAAATACCCTGCACGAACGCCCGATTGACCCCGCAGAACCACGGCGGCTACTCCCATTTCCGAACCACGGACATGCGGGTCATCCGGTTGTGGCAGTCACGCCAGCCAATCGCAAACCAGGGATATAGTTCCGCTCCACCACCTCTTTTCCCTCCCCCTGCTGCGTGCGCCCCACGTCATCGATAGGCCCCAGTCTAGAAACGACAATGGCCATTGTTTGGCAGCCTGGCATGCCTATATAGTCAAGGTGGGTCTGGAGCTTTCTGACGTGCCTGCTTGCATACTGTCTACCACTCCCGCGCGATAACTATTTGCGGAATTTCATGTACGAACATAAACCCGAGAATATGGCCGACGAGAAGAAAGAACAGGTGAAGCGTGTTGCGGCGGAGAAGAAGGACCAGGCTGAGCGTGTGGCTGCTGAGAATGGAATGTGAGTTTGTGGTGCTTTGAAGCTAGGATGTGATGGATGGCTAATGGATGAGTAGTGCTAATCCTTCGGGTGCAATGATTGCGGCTTTTGCGCCCATGTATCTCGCTGCCATACCTCTTACGTACGTCTTCTCAGGCTCTCGAAGCCATTCGAACCCGGACTGGAACTGACTGGGTCGAACAGCTCCTTCCTCACAAAACCGAACAGCGTCACTCAGTCGCTGGTTCACGCGCTCATCAAATTGATCCCTGGTGTCACAGTACGTTCGTTCCTCTTCAACTCTGATCTCACACTAATGGCCATCACCAGACAACAGCGATAACTTCCGGACGCGCAATCCCCGCCCTCTCAGCTCTATACATATTCTGGACCTTCGGCGCATCGGGCGCGCTCTCTGCAGCAGGACAAGCCATGGGACGCGAAGAAGGTCTTGATCTGGAACACTCGAGGAAGCACATTCACAAGCTTGACGGGCTGCCACTGAGGCTGAGGAGTGCGCATTATGCGCTTATGGAGAACTTCCCTGGTAAGTCGAAATTTCTTGCAGTGCCCCCTGTCAGTAAAGATTGCTAACGTGACCGTGATCGTAGGCTTCGCCCTTGCTGCCGCGCTGGCGCAGGTCCTTGCGCCTCGAGATGCACAGATCGTGAATCTGCTGGGCTACCATGTTATCGCCAAGTTGCTTGTACATTACCCGTCTTACCTGAGCAACGTGGCTTTGCCGAGGACTGCTGCGCATGTCACTGCCACGGCGGCTTTGATCAACATCTGCTGGAGGTTGGCTGCTGGCAACTAGAATGGAAGGAAATTCTGGAGTCGTGTTGATTAAGTAAAGACTACTATCCGAAACTATCCAAGACGTGCCCATGACTACCATCCTATCTATGCAAGGAAGCTCATCTTGCTACTAGTACCGCTCTTGTACTTATATTCCCTCTCATAGTAGTTCTGATCAACTACATCCTCTTCACCGAGGAGAGCCTCACCTGCGAGAGCCTTGTCGTGCAGGACCATGGTTGCAACCTTCGACTCTCCCAAACCGTTCTTACTGGCTACCCTGCGGATCTCTTGCAGAATACGATCCGAGAGACGTTGATACATGGGGTCGTCAGGAGGATTGTCGCCTCCTGGGCCTTCCTTGGAAGAGCCACCATCGCTCTCAAACGGCTCGAAGTACGCAACGACCGTTTCCAGCTCAGAGAAGTTTGCCAAAACCTCGGCGTAGGCGGCAAAACGGTTGTCGAAGCCGGTGATCTGCGCTCCGGTAACGCCATGTATCTTCCCAGCGAAGCCGTCGTGCTTCCATGGTAGTCCAAACATTAAGTGTCGAAATCCCAGCCGCTTGAGGTTGGGACGGATAGCCAAGATTTTCTTCAGCATACCTACGTTGAGAGAGTTCGCCCCAAAGCTCAGATCACATGACTCCAGGTCGGAATGGCTGGAGATCATCCGAGCCAAGTCCGGCTGCCAAGGGTTGAGCGAGACGACTTTGAGGTCTTTCAGGGTCGAGAATGAAGCGAGAAACGCCTCAAGACCGTTGGGATTCTCCTCCCAAAGCTCTTCAGCGTAGTCCCAGTTCTGCACGTCCAGCTTCTGAAGACTGACGTCAGTAGCCATGAAGTGTCTGAGGAAGCGGGGTAGCAGCTGGCAGTCATCCAGTTCGAGCCGGCGTATGCTGGAGAAGTTGATGCATGTGTAGGTATCCAGGGGAAAACCGTGGCCAAAGTCGAAGTGACCGAGGCTCAGATGCGTGATGTTGAAGCAGCGGATGGCGGGGGGTGGCGCAGGAGCCATGTCGAAGATGTTTGCACAGTCATGCTCGGGCCATCGCATCGACCATGCTACGGATTCGAAACCTTGTGCGGTCGGGAACCCAAAGGCGCCGAGAACTCTACGGAACATGTTCACCGACGTGCCTGTCTCTGAATTGCGGTGTGACATAGCCTTGTAACCGCCACCGTGCACCAGGAGTGCGTCTTTGCTTTCTCTTCGGGTAGGCTGGAATGTGTAGTTGACTGAAGAGTCCATCATACGGTGTGGCTGCGGGATAGATTCACATGCCTATGGAAGATACAGCTCTTTGAGGTTGTCCTTCAGTGGCATTTGGTCGGCATCGAATAGCATCTGGAGATAGGTATCGACCTTGCGAGTGAGGGAGACGTCAGTAAGCCGAAGCTCCTTCAGCGGTACGTCACGGAGCTCCATGAGAAACTCAGCCAGAATATATCCGACTTCCTCATCGTTCGAAGCAGAGAGCGTCAGTGTTCGCGTCTGGTGAAGTTTCATCTGGTCCAGGGTACATGGCAGATAGGTATCCGCCATGAAGCTAGCGTCCTGACACGGGCTTTGGTCGATGTTGATGGCGACATGTTGGTAGAGAGGGCGAGCAGCGGGAGCTTGAAGATATTTGCAGACCTGAGTGACGTCGTACAGGAATTGTCTACCCTTCTTTTCATGGTATAGCTGTATCAGTTAGCAGTGCTCCTCTGCGTTTCGCTCAAGCATCTGGAAACTCAAGTTCTTTACTTACATGCTCCATAACATTGTCTAGTAACTCTACGGGGAGCTTGAGTAGGCCTTGACGCCCATTGGCCGACGTTGCAGGGGCTGGTATAGCTACAGGCGCGGGGATGGGTGTAGTAATAGGCGCGGGATCGTTCAGTTTCGGTTTCTTTGATACCGCATCCTCTGACTGCGATGAAGAGCGGGAGCGAGGACGCTTTGACGGAACTTGACCCGGACTCGCTATGTCCTTGTTCGCTGTAGTGTCGGGCTCTGCGCTGTCGCGCTTGACTCCTCCGGATGCGGGTTTCTCTTCTCCAAGTCCAATGGACGTGTGAAGGGGCTCCAATGGAGCGAGATCGTCATTCGATGTCATCTTGCCAGTGATCTCTGTCGACCCGAGCGACAGTCGCCAAATTGATCCAAGAAGTCGGGAGGTGAGAGGAAGGTGAGGGGGAGGTAAGAGAGATCAAGTGAGAGAGAGATCTAAGACGGTGTCAACACCGCGACCGTTTGCAATATTGCGTCACCCACTCAAGGCGCGCTAACGCGCACAGTCGCCCACACACCCGCTACAAATACCGCTTGTCTCACCCATTTCCTCTCTTTACTTTCTACCGCTTCGCGTTCCCAAGATCAACCGCACTCCTCAACCCTCTACTCAACCCTCTACTCACCCTCTACTCACTCTCTACTCATTCCTCTACTCATCCCTCTACTCATCCCTCTACTCACCCCTCTACTCACCCCTCTACTCACCCCTCTGCTCACCCTCTACTCGACCGCGCCTCCCGATCGCGCTACATCGTAAGTGATCCACCAACCCATCTGTTCTACTAAACGTGCAATAGCCGCCTGGAGATACCCTCCAGCCACATCACTTCGCTCACCGGGTGGAAGCGTCGAGTCGGCATAATAGCCACCAAAAGGCTCAACTTGTGTGGAGGGGACCCCAGGCCAAGCCACAGAAGCTTTCAACAGTTTCGCCAGTGCGAGTTGATCTACGAACGATGGTGAGCGACGGAGACGATACGGAGATCTCTAGAGGTCTACTTGGAGGCTCGCTGGTGCCTTTGAGGACGGTCGAAAACCAGCGCCCGTTCTACCCTTACCCCAACGTCCGGCATTCAACATAACCGGGAGGGAAACGCAGAACACCTTTTTTTCATTGACACGATTGCTTTACGCCGTCGATCGAGGAAGAAACAACACGGTGACATTCAGATGACGAGACCGCTGATTCATCAGTCTTTGGACCGGAGATGGTGAGAATGGCAAAAGGCGGGGTAAGTTGAGTATTTCCAAATCATCAACACCGCTGAACATAGAAGACTGAGCTAAGAGTGAGCGCGAGGCCTTGATCTGAGGAAGGGAGACAGCGCGTACATGACTTAAAGAAGGAAGCGCGCGGTCGTGAAACTGGTGCACTTATTGCGATCGTGTTCACGTCCATATACATCTAGCTACATAGCGACTGAGACATGACTTGCGGCTCGCAAGTTGAGCTTCGCGTGACGACAAACCATCACCATTGTACTCACAATTGCGCACCAGCAGCGAAGCGGACCAGGTCACTTGTTGGACCCGCGTTTCTCGTGAACATGGACGCAAAGTGACAAAGAACAAGCATAGGTAGATAGAATTACGCAGTGAAAGTATTTGACATGAAAAGATGATTGGAGAATGAGAAAAATGCGCCGGAAACCGAGTTTGGTCGCTGTTTGACGCGCGACTACATTTGCTCCATAGCGAGGCTCTCTCGAGAAATTCGGCGTCAAGTACGAAGATGACACAATGATGATCTTCGTGTTGATGGCGTGAAGGAAGAGGTGGGAGATGTTGTCGTAATGGGGTTTCCTGGCTGACGTCATGTCCCCACACTAGCCTGATTGGCCCTTTTCGGCCAGGTACGGTTCGTACTGAAGGTGGCAGTACCCTATCACATATTCGCGCACCCTGGAAGTTTCTCAGTATCAATAAACTTCCGCTATTGCATGGAGTGGAGTGAGCGGGTGGTCATACAGATGAAGTGAGTTGTATATCTCAAGAGAGCTTAACGGCATCGTATTCTTCGAGTACCTCCTGACTTTTCTTCCCAGCTCGCTAGACGTGGACTTGCCATTCGTGGGGATTCATTCAGATGAACGAGCATGGCCCTCTTCTTCCACTGAAGACTTGCCTTCCCCTCGATCGGTACTGGCCGGGTTCACTCGCGTTTCACGCCGAGGTCGAGATGGCCTCCGTGGTCGAGCCTCCACCTCTCGATCGGTACGGTCCACGACCACTCGCGGCTCACGACGTGGTCGGAGTTGTCCCCGAGGTTGTCCTTGTATTAGAGCCTCCAGCTGTTCCCTTGATATTAAAGCCTGTCCATCTCCCATATCTGACTCACGAGGGTTGTAGTATGTGCTCTCATCATCGCGGCCTCCGGTAATGACGAGTTCTGCCATGCCGTCCTCGGTCGGAACAAGTTGCATTGTACGGCCCTCCATGTCGCCGTTGAATTGCAGACTGAGCGGGGCATTCGGATCAACTTTCAAGCGAATCTCCTTGTGACCGTCACTGGTAACGGTGGGCGCGGTGCCTGTCCTGTTGGCATCACCGCTCTGCTTCGGTGCGTTATCTTTCCTCTCCTCTCCGGATTGGTCCGACTTATAGTGGTTTGATGAATACGCCCTACGTCTTAGTGGTCGCGGTACTTCAACAATACGATCATCATAACAATCCCTTGGGACCCGTGATTCTCGTCTCGAACGACGCGAGCGGTCTTCAGGCTGGCGCCTGTCAGCCTGAGACGAAGGCAATGTCGGACCCGACCCTGTGGGCAATACTCGCGTACTTTCGGATGTTCCGACTGATGTTTTCGGATCGACACTGGAGGCATGAGAGCTCTCGACGGCCGGTTCGTTCTTAAATGCATCTTCCCTTGTTACAGCCAGCTGTTCCTTCCTCATCTGTTCGACTTGAACATTCGCCATAATATCCTCTAGTGACCACTTTCGGATCTCTCCCTCAGAAAGGTAACGTGGAGGTGGTATGAGTGGCGGACTATGTGGAGGTGGTAAGGGCCGCGGAGTTGCATGGCGTTTCGCCTCCGGAATCACCACTGCTGCATCTGTATGTCGGATACTAGGCTGTTGGGATTGCGGCGATAACAAGAGCCCGTCACTGCCGTCACTGAAATCTGGCCCAAAGGCCTTGAGTGACCCGTCATTGGGAAAGTCATCATTCGCGAATGGACCACCGTCCAGGTCCCTAGCTTGGTCGTATTCGGTAGCGTGTGGGAGTTGATTTTCATCAACCGGCTTGTCTGCATGGATACTTCGGTCGGATTCCGCAGCGGATCCAGTGAGATCGGACGTCCTCGAAGTCAACATGGAGACAAGAGGTTCAATACGGTCAAGGCGCTCTTCTTCTGGTAGGTTCATCTCTCTAGTGGTTTCTATTAGCGGTGGTCGGTTTACCTCCTTATCTACACCCAGGCTACTTCCAGTGTGATAACCTTGAGTTGTGTGGTCTCTCCTGGGGGCTGGTCTCAATCCGGCAAGACTTTCGTTATAGGCTCTTAAACGTTCTTCCAATTCTGCATTCTTCACTTCTGTGGACGCTACTGTATCTTCCATTTTCTCCAGATTAGATTCCAGGTCCGCAATGTGAGGCTCTGCGATCTCTTGATGTGGAATTGACGGCGGCGGGTCCAATATCATTGAGGGTATTTCCCCGAGATTGACAGGTTTAGAGCTGTTTTCGCGAACGGTCTTGTCGAATTTTGTCGATGGTTCTGCGTTCGTATCATATGACCGTAACTTCTCCTCCGCGGCGACGTCCAGATACTCTCTAAGAGTAGGCTCCATGTCAAGCTCAGTAGCCAACGGAGGGCGGATCTGCTCAAGCTCACTCGCGTCTGAGAGGTCCACGTCACCATCTTCAGCAGCGCTCTTTGAACTGGGATCGCTGTTATCGTCTCCCTGAACATCTTCCTGAAGATCTTGTTCATCATCCTCGTCATCACCGGAATTTGCTGGGAGAGCGAAGAGCGCTAACTGTTGTTGGTGGCGGCCCAGATGCTTTTGCAAGGCCCGCAATGTCATCTGCTGACCACACAGCATGCACTCCGTCTTTACATTGAGGGTCGCATGTTTGATTGAAGTACGCTTCAACGCGGAGAGCATGCTTGAGGCGGCCAAGTCTGAATGATGCTTTCGTACATGACTCTCAAAGCCGGACTCAGTTTCAAAAGTACAGCCGCATTCGTCTATGCATTGCCACTCAATCCGATGGGCTTCAAGTTCGTGTGCAAACCACGCTTTGCGAGAGTCGTAGAGTCGATCAGCGATGGTACAATGTTCGTAGGTGCAACAGTACGGGTGTAAGTCTCGAAACACGTGTTGTCTGCCCGAATTAGCAATGTGTAGTTCAAGTCGTGATACGTACTTACTTCCACTCAGCTACTGTGTGGATTGATACCAGAAGAAAGCAGAGAGGACATTCGAAGAAATCTTTATCGCGAGCTCCTTTGGGCAACGTCGGAACTCTAATGGCGGCTTTGTGAGAAGTAGCGTAAGATGTCTGCGATGCCACATCATCTCCCTCATCGAGCACTTCGAGACCTGATACTTGCTTTACGCGTGTTGCTTCAGTACTATTTGTTGTAAATTCTGTCGTCGCTTTCTCAAAGCCCAGCTTTTCGATGTTCTTACTGAGCTTTTGATGATGCTCTTCTCGGTAACTCAGATACTGTCTTCGCGCAGACAAAGCGCGTCCCAACCTCTCAATAAGGTAGCGTGGCGCATCTCGAAACTTCTCTGCGACATGTTGTATATCGTGTTGCTCATAGAAGGATTTATCGATGCTGATGGTGCTCGTTGACTGACTGTTAGGTGCCGGGTTGCGTATGGCTATTGAGAGGCGGAAGAGTGAGGTGATCACAGACTTGATGCCTGCCACGAGCTGAAGAAGCTCTGTTCTCTCTTCGAGGTCAGTATCTGAGCTTTCTCCATCGGAGTTGGCCGAGTCACTGTCGGAAGCCGATAACTCGTCCCAAGGTACTGACTCGTGCTTGACAATCGAGAGTGCTATCAGCGTCAGTCCATGCCACAAGTCGTAGATAGTGCTAATACACACCGTCTCGCAAAGCATCGGACAGGGCATCAAGCTGGCCATGAGTCTCCGATTTGAGATGAATGGCATCTCGAAGTCTACACGGTGTGCATTAGCCGTGTGCTATGAGCAAAGTCAATCAACAAGGGATTGGAATTTACCTGTACTCCAAGCTACGACGGCCCTTGCGATGCGCTGCGATGTTTCCTGCCCACAACTTGAATCGAGAGAATTCGTCTACGATCACTGCTGGAGGAACTTGGGCAGCGAAATGAGTATCCGCTTCCAATGCATCAGCAAGGCCCACAAAGTCTTGCGCGAGATGATCGACTCTCGTCGCGATGACAACATCAACTGGCGTCACTGTCGTCAAGCTCATGATGCCAGGTGGAAGGAACGTATGCTTTCTGTATGTAAAATGTGAAGAGGAGGCGTCGATGTCTTTCCGAGGAGTACTCTGCAGCCTGCCCGTGCCTCACCAGGAACCCCGCGACCCCGCTTCGTGCTACCTGCACCACATCCCTCAACACACATCGCTCAGTCGTCGATGCTCATCATCAGACCTAAACTCGCGTTTTCGTTCGCTCATTCGGCTCTCTTCTCTACCCCAATACCACCGAGTGTACCTTACATCGAACGTCGTACACCATAGCGGACCTAATTCAACTTCCATTCGATGGCGACGGGTATCGAGGCCGCCGGTCTTGTGCTGGGCGCTATACCCTTGATACTTGCGGGTTTGCAATTCTATGCCGAAGGAATCAGTGTGACAAAACGATACTGGAGGTACAAGAGGGGTGTCAACGAGATTCTAAATGAGCTGAAGGTCGAGACTGCTATGTGCATCAACAGCATCAATATACTGTTATTCGGGATAGTCACCCCTAAAGAGATGGTTGGGTTTCTGAACGATCCACGAGGCGCACGATGGAAAGAGGAGAAGTTCGATCGAAAGCTTCGCGCGAGGCTAAGAGCGAGCTATGACCCGTACATGGCAAGCATCCACCAGATGGTGATCATAGCTGAGAAGTTCAAAGAGCGATTGAAATTGGACGATGCCGGAAGGCCTCCATTTTCCGAGAAAAATGCATTCAAGGAGCACTACGAGCGTTTGAAGTTCAGCCTGAAGAAATCGGACTACACGGAATTGATGGAACGGTTACGACGCGCGAATCTGGCCCTCGATCGCTTGACGAATCAGACGACGTACATCGAGACCCACACACCGGATCGCCTGTCAGTCCCGAATTTCGGCATGATCAACGAGAGAGCAGATAGCTTCCACTCCGCGCTGAAGGCAGGTTGGAATTGCCCATGCTCGGCGCACCATACCGTCAGTCTGCGCTTGGAGACACGCATCGAGGCCGTATCGAGTGATGAGGATGAGGACGATGATGCGCATATGATGCGTGACCCATTCCACGTTCTTTTCCATTACGACAGGGATCATGCAACTGAGCAATCAAGACAGGTTGGTGCTTGGTCCTGGGAGGAGGCGGATGTACGAGTCGATCCTATTCCAGACACTACACCGCATGTCCAACAGACTAGAGGTGTTCGGTTTGCAGCGCAGAATATGCAAAAGGCTGTGCAGGCAGCATTGGAAGCACGCCCGAACATGCAGCCCATAAAAGACTTGTGTGCTGCAATTTCGGAGCTCCAGAAACCACAACGCGAAGTTTGCTTTTCTTTGCTTGCTAGCGAGATCGCGAAGCAAAAGTATGGTGTGCACATTTACCCAACGAAACAGATGCCTCTCGACCCTGATACATGGTCGATTTCTTCGCTACACATGAGCTTGAACGACACAGATTTCGCTCGTCGCGATCGCTTGAAATTGGCAGTCACACTTGCTTCGAGTGTTTTGCAGCTTCATGAAACCCCATGGCTTGATCAGTGCTGGGGTAAAGACAGTATCTTCTTCGTGAAGCGACCCGGAATGACCATGTACGACCAGCCTTTTGTGTCATGGGACTTCAGTCGTACCACACCACCTGCGGAAGCTGGAATGCCCAAGTCAATGAATCACATCATCCGTAATCAGCCTTTGTACGCGCTTGGTGTCGCGTTGATAGAGCTCTGGTATGGCAAGCCTCTTCAAGAACTTTGGAAGGATGAGGATGGGCCTTTCGATACCGGTGTACGACAAGTCGATATTCTGACTGAATGGAATACCGCGAATCGACTTGTAGACGATCTATACAGCGAAGCTGGTCGCAGATATGGCGATGCCGTTCGGCGATGCATCCGCTGTGATTTCGATCGAAGAGCTAATAGTCTGGATGACATTCAGTTCCAGCGAGACGTATACCACGGCGTAGTATCGCAGTTGAAAGAGAACTACGAGTACTTGTTTTAGCACTAGTCGTACTCAGCTTAAACTTCCATCGTCATCTTCAACCAAGAGCATAAGCGTCACTGTCGACGACAAAGGTTTTGACTGTTTCCCACTCTAGCCGAAAGTGAGCATGACCACCAGCGAGTTATATATTACCCTGTCAATCAGCTTGAGTGTCAGATGCGGGACGAGGCAAGCTGGGCAATCGCATGTTCGGTAACGCTTCCACAGAGGCGGTAGCGTAGCGAAAGAAGACTATGCAAAAGCTCGTATGAGACCCTGCTGTCCCTCAATGCATGACTGAAGATCTTCTCATGTTGGTGAGGTTAAGTAAATGTTGGAACAAAGAAGAGCGTATGGTCGGGCGTGGAACAGGCAGGAACGCTTGAAGACTCACACATTTATGGCTTCTTTGCATCGCAGTTCCCTTTCAACCTCACCAGTATTTCAGCATCGTGGGTCTGAGCACAGAGAGAATGATCTTTTGGAGCGCTCTGCGACTACCGCGGAGCTACACCGAGAATTCGGGAAGGAAAGGGCGGAATCTTTTCGCCTTCCCCCTTGCGCCTTCCAAAGGTGGCAATCGATCGTGTCGCCAATCGCCAGGCTGGTCAGTGTTTGTCTCGTGCCAGCGGAACATAAATGGCAGCGGTTACCTCCCCCGAGAGTTTTCCTCTCCACACTTCCACCCTCAACTTATTCCCTCTACTGCCGCGCTCTTAAACTGTAAAACTTCTCACCAACTATAAATACAAAAGACAAAATATCTATCGAAGTCATGTACTATCAGCACTTTCTCTCTATTCTCCTCGTCGTCGTCGGCATGGCGTTTGCGGCTCCCAGTCCGCACATCGGCATGATCAACAACGACGACGTCCGCGATGTCGGCGCCGTGTACTCTCAAGCAGAGTTCTCGTCCGCGCCTACGTTTCTCCTCATGGACAAGCAGAGCCCTAGGTGTATTCCACTGTACGTAATCTTATCACTCTTGCATCGCAGTCATTGACGTGTTGTAGCAACAACGACGACATCATGTCAATCATGATCTGCGTCGAGTCCATCGAGTGCAACTTTTGGAAGGTACGTATTCGAAACAGGATGGAGATCGGCCCTATGAACTAACAACCAAAAGAACAAGGACTGTGGTGGCTCAATGTCGGACGAGGATGCTGCCTTCACCGTCGGTTGTGGCGACGTCCACAAGCTTCCCCTACCACTGACTGGCACATACGGCTCGTACAAGTGCCAGCATGTACATCTCAATACCTGCGAGTCTTCGAGCACTGTCAGGGTCGAGACTACTCCTCACGTTCCCAACAACTACGTGCTAGGTCAAGTATGTACTCGCATTATCTTCGATCACACCAATCATGCACTGACGTTCAGTAGTAAATCTTGCTTCCGTTGACTGCTATCTCGGCCCCGGTTTAATAATACCACCGTTGGATCCGTTAGATCTATAACAACGGTGAAATTGATCTATTGATGGTGATGGCTTATCTCTGCGGGCTCTTTTTTGCATAAACTTGACAGCAACTATGGACCAATAGCTTGTGATTTCAGATGTCGACAGCAATCCCATCTTTATCTATTAAGTCTTTGACCCATGCTTCACGGTGTTACGGCGGCGCAGAAGGATTTAATGACAGCTATGCCGTGTGATGATCTGAAACAATACTGCTCCGAGATTGCTTTGCGCATGCAAGCTGGCATCGCGCGTCAAATTAACTGCATGTGCGGTACGACCCATACTCATGGGCAATTGCAACGTTGCTTCACACTAGATGAAACATATCCAAGACCGCCCGCCCCTTCATCAATGGAAAAATGGATATCATAGCTCAGTACTCCGACGCGTTGCGCTTCTTCCCAATTGCATGGTCTCAACACCTCTACGCCTTTGACTTCTGACCCATCAGCGGTATCTGCATGCCCTCACTAAGCTGAATTCTTGGGCCTGGTATCTCGCTCATTTGCTCTCTCTTTGGTGTATCACCAAGCTTCTTCCACATGAGTTGCAGCATGACATGTCCCGGCGTGATGCCGGTCTGCTGCGATCCCCAACGGAACTGCCATAGTGGAAGAGATTCGTTGATAGTAGGGGTACGCTTAGCATCGTAATAGCATGCTACGTCTCCGAAGCAGAGGAAGACGTACGGGAATCCGGTCTACGTGTGCATTAGCAGTGTCTTCTGGCGAATTAAGCTGGGAACGATACTTACTATAGTGTATAGCTCGTCGTAAATGTCAACGTTGCGCTCCGTACACGTCCACGCATAATCGCCTTGCCCGTAGTGACTGTCGACGTTCTCTTCTTGACTAGCGTCTTGGAATGTGCAGTTGCCATTGTGAGTGCTAAGAGTATAAGGGTAGTCATCCATGCGCTCGAATATCCCGCATTCTTTCCCGCTCCCACTGTCATGGACGAATTTGCCATGCGCATCCAGGCATCCTACACTCGACTCTGGGGTTGCGGTGCCCCAATTGTCGGATGCCAAGACGTAGATGTGACCAATGCCGCTGAAGTCTGTTTGTTGAATGCCAGCGTATGTAGGTAGAGCGAGCGAGGTAACGATGAGGAGAAGCGTGGTGGGGATGTTGGCAAACATGATGCGCAAGCGTTGGTTTGGGTTCCGAGAGGAGAGAGACGAGGATGCAAGCTTTCCAAGGTTCGGTCGGCAGTGTCGTAGCGAAATGAATTCTCCTCTGGGGGAAGCAAGTATCCAGGCTCTTTATATTGATCGACCGTAACACAGCTCAGGCGTACCGTGCCACGCTATACAACAAGGAGCGTGCCTGACAAACCCCTCGCGCCGTCTCTCTAGGAGCAAGCACTAGGCTCTTTGGTGGGGAAGAGACACGCCCTTGCGAAACCTACCCCAAGAATGCTGCGGGATAGATTAATTTCCCCAGGAAACCAATTTCGGATCCCCTCCTCGTGATGACGGTAGACAAGCTCGCTTCCCAATTTGAGGAAAACGAAGTCTAGATACTTCGACGTTGGCGAATAGGCGAGAAGGAAATAATCGCATAACATACGGCGTGACCTTGTACTTAATATCGAACGTTGGGCCTTAATAGCATCGGGACGAATGTCGCGCGTATAGGACATCATGCTAAGAGCTGAGGAATGATACAGATATGCACGGGTTTACCAAGGTGGACGCACCCCGTGCCCAATCACAAGGAACATGGCGAATCGTTGGCAGGCAGAGAGATGAGGGATCGAAGGATCAGGCGTCGGCGGACTTGGAGCTTGTTTCGTTTAGCCAGAAATGCCAAAGCAGATATGTCAGAGATCTGTAAGCGCAGGCTGTTGGAGAGCGGACGGAGATGTCAGCGGAGGGACATTTGGGAAGCGGCGAGAGTTGCCGAGGCGCCAGTCGAGCTCGGACTTGGATGTCGCGCGCAAGCGAGGTATGGCGAACAGCTGAAGTTCGTGTCCTACCCGTTCCATCATCTATGACCGATGCCACTTCATGGTTTGAAGATGAGTACGAATCGCGTTCGACCGCATCTCATACAAAAATTGGCAACAGCTGGACAAGAGAAAATCAGACAACGGCGATCCCGACCCCGCGAGCGGCCCAGTTGGACCCCTCCGAAGACCCTCAAAACCCGAACCAGTTCTTCCCTACATCACGACACCGAAGTCCGGGATCATAATGGCGAATGCTGGCCACTCCTGTCGATCTCCCGCAAGATACCCACAAGCTCGCGCATCATCTCTGCTGAACCCAGCTTAGCGCTTTCGGCAGCATTACGCATCACTCACGAAGTCCGGAATAGCGCCTTCTCCTGGGATGATCAAAGCTAGTTCTACCGACTGCATCTGGATCTTGGCGACTAACTAGGCTAAACTACGAGTTCACGATACTGGCGGACGGGTCTTAAAAGCAGCGCATATGATGCGTTTGGCGCCTAAATTCTTATCAACAAGAACATCTTTTCGTTCCAGGGCGCCACCATGTCAGCCATATCATGTAGGACTACAGCCGTTTTGCCAGCCAATCCGTCACCTAATGAACATGGTACCATGTCGGTGTCCTTTTCAACAATGCATCACCATCACTGCGCCTTCCGCTTAGTGATAGAGAGGTGTACGAATCTGTACGTCATTGATATAGGTAAAATTAGGGCACTGCATGTGAGATAAGGATTAAGTGTGGTGGGTAGAATATCGTACGTGGGCGGCAACAGTAACGAGCTCTTTAGCTATAGGGACACGCAATAAGGTTGCTCTCGAGCCGAAGGCTAAGATGTAAGTGTCACATCATACTAGGGAAACACTAAACACCCTGGAGCCTACGTCGCTGTCAGGCCACCTGCTTTGCACGTTTTTATCTTGATGTAGGCCCCAGGGTGTTCGTTTTTTCCCTTGAATGGGGTGGTGTTTAGAGCCAAAGAACCTTGCGGCATGGCGTTGGGAGATGTACCGAGTTTAATGAGTGCGGATATTCGCGAGGTGCGCCGCAGAGCTCCTTAGAAAACTGTGTGACTTTGGATAAAGAATTCGAATAGTGTCACATTGAGAAAGTCTTGTTCATTTGGAAAGCTTATTGCACTCTACCTGGGAGGAATCTAATGTCCACGCAGAGCTACAAGGAGGATAAGCCTAGCTAGAACCGGCTTGATAGAGCTTCTATCTTCGGGCCTAATCTTGGTGAAAAATAGGGCTCCATGGGATCCTGCGTCTCGAAATCTTGCGAGAGAAAAGATGTAGAGTACTTTGGAGAACGCCATACTGTTTCCAGACTTTATGGTAAGAATATGCGTGCCTTGATGTAAAATCTGTAAGGCGATCAAGGGTAGACTGTTGCTTCTCTCATCGCATGGGGCACGCGACACTCCCGCTTTTGCTCTCCGAGTACCTTTTGACGAACGCAGTCTAAGCAAATGCCATCCACCGCATCATAAATCTTGTCGAGCTCGGCTATAAGCGTAGCCTTAGTGTATCGAGCAACAGACTTGCAAGCACAGTTCGGGGTTGTGCAACTCGCATAAAGAGGAGGTGACTCAGGTACGGCTCTAAGCTTGGACTTGATGACCAAGACCGAGCACTGATTGACGGGCCAAAGATCATTCCGCCTGAGACCGAAGATAAAAGTACCCAAGGCCTGCTTTGAAGCAGCACAAAACTCGAGTCCCGTAACGATCGAAGCGAATGCCGTGGTAATTCGCCTCTGATATGAAATTTGACGAAGTAGTAGGTATTCGAACACCTCCAAAGGTAGGAACTCGTGACCATCTGTGGCTTTTGTGACGCTGAGGATCGCGGTAGGGTCGCGGACCAATCTCTGAGAGACTCTGAAGAACTCTCTCGGCAACTCGAGGAGATGTGTGGCAAGAAGCATCTTTTCGAAATCTGCAGCTTCGAGATCTTCGAGAAGGGCGCCAATCCAGATGATAGCCCATGAACGAACCACATTCGCGCAATCGTATTTGTTACAACAAAGCGCAATTTTGGACAAGACGGTGGCGGCGAGCTTGAGGGGAAGTTCCGAAGTCTGCATGTGTGCGATCTTACAGATCATGATGATGGACTCAGGATCGTCATCTGGAAGCGGGACAGTGCGTGGTGAAGCCGGCGAAAGATTCTGGCCCTCAGAGAAGCGGCCGTCGAACATAGCCGCAAAGACTGGTGAAGCGAGGCCGAGCACCACGGACGAGACGAGGATGTTGCGAACTCCTTCTCCGACCCCGTCTTGGCCCGATTGGAGTATGACATCGCCTCTTTTTGCAACGACCTCTGCGTTGCCTCCGCTTTTCGACATTGTGACAGCGCCTGTGTTAACGTCAGTAAACAATTCTTACGATCAGGTTAGTGATCAATCACCTTCAGACGTGCGCTTCCGTGGGATAGCCAGCGTGAAGACTTCGCCTTCTTTGAGACCGTGGTAGAACAACAACAACCTCAATTCGCGCCCGATTGGAAAGTGTCGGGTTCAGAAGATGGAAGCAAAGACGGTGGTTGAGAGGGGGTCGCGACTGCCCTCTGGGTCGCGACTGGAACCTGGGCTTATTCGCACTCACCTTCACTTCCTTTATGGCTCGCACGCGTCTTGGGCAAAGGAACAAGCCGATAGAATTACCGAGTGATAAAACAGTTCAAAATCAGCAAACTGAGATATTGTGATGAAGCGCATCTTCCATTCCGTTGCGGTTTCTGTGCGCCGCTACTTGACGTGTTTTGAAGTGCTGTCGCCAGTCAATTGAGAATTGTTTAGGACTGCTCATATGTTGAAGCCAGATCAACGATCAATATAGTGCACCGAGAGTTACCATAAGCTCTTCCACAGATCGTCTGACCTTGGGATGGTGTTGCGGCATCATTGCCTATCCAGCGCCCACCTCACAACCGCCACGATCGTTAACCTATGGAAAGTCTGAACAGGTCTGGAGCCTACATCGGCGTTGGGGCATCTACTTTGGCAGGTTTCCATGTTAATGTAGGCTGCAAACCTGTTCAGTTTTTCCCTTGTATGAGGTGGCAATGTGAGAGTTCTAGACGGCCTATTGGACGACAGGAGGGCTTTGATGAAAGCAAACGCCGATCTTGTGACACGGAGAGGTGATGACTTGATCTTCAGCTGTGATGAAAGTGATCGAGAGGAGACGGAGCTGCCGGAGAAGTTGTGTGATCAACACGACGATAGGCAAGAGCAGGACCGGATAACTAAGTCTTTTCAATCACGGAACTTAACTCCATGAGATGTCGGCGAGACGACACAATGACACCATCGGGTCCCTCAGCTACATCGGGAGAAGGGATGCGTAGTGTCATTCTGTGGATGTGGTGGGGTACCTGGAAGCTGGAAGCTGGAAGCTGGAACTACCGAAACGCGAATTTGGCGCGCGCGCACCTTCCGAGCGAGCTTCGGCCGAAAGATAAGAACAATCTCCAGCCTGCCGCCGTCTAAACCGAGACAAACCCCCTGCGCCGACCGTCGCCCTGGCTTCCCGCGAGTTTTGTCAGACGCAACGGCGACATCTCGCATCCGCAGACTGCGAGCTTGAACCGCTGCAGCTCCGCATTTCCTGTGCTGCCGCGGACAAAGTACAAAGCGGCATCTAGATTGCTCGGACGCAAGCCCACTTTCCTTGGATTTGCCATCGCTAGCACGGGCACGACCTTCCAGAGATGCTGTGGGTGTGTCGTCCGAGCCCACAGTTCTCTCTACGCAAGATGCATTTTCCTGTGGTCGCATTGGAAGCTAGAACCCAGCGAAAGCCCTGTGGACAGCCATTCGAACAACACATCATCACGACCTTCGGGCCTCTGAGAGTCACAATACCAGCTCCGTAAACCATATTGATCCTTCCACAATGCCGAATTGAAGCTATTCGGGAGCTCTCCATATGGAGCTTTAGCGTACGCCAGTGAAGTGCCACTCCCAGGCCTCGATTTACGTACATTCTTGCTCGATCGGGTCAAACGACCACGCGCTACTGGAGCTACCGTGTTGACCCACGCCCACAGACTACGCTACGGGCTTCTCGGCGAAGCTTCGTGAGTATCAAACGGGTAAGCAGCTGGTAGAGCTCCCCTGGCGCGTCTGTGAGCTGATTCGCGCCATTGGACGCGACCCCGCACTATCAGCGATGCGAAGTAATTCCAAACACGACCGTCACACCCGCAGCGACCACTTGTCTGTGTGGGAATGTCGCATCACCAAGTGGGGATGACCGACCTCGTCTGCCTGGTGACCCAGGGATCAGAGGCTGAAAGTAGTGAGAAGATCGTGCGGCTGCTCGGCGGTATATAAAAGCCCCCTCACGAACCCCTCAATTGCTCTCACAACACCAACATTGTCCAGTGTAGCATCCGGTCTTCCATTTAACTTCTCTACCATACATCGACGTCACTTCGGCCCGCAAGAGGTATACCGACCCACGCACCCCTCACTTCCCCCCTGCCGGGACGATAGGCTGACATACCTTGCGTCAGGAATACGTACCATTCGTTGTACCTTTGCCGGCTTCTACTATATATCTCTCCCTCGGAGCCTCAATTGTTCTCTTGTCAGTTCAATAAGTCAAAATGGTATTTCTCCGATCTGCTTCTCGCCTTGCGCGCCCTGCCTCCTCCCTCCTCAGCGCACGCGTCGGACCTCGATTAACTTCGTCGCTCCGCCAACCGAATGCTTTCAGAACGCTGACCGCGACGGCTTCACAACAGGGCAAAGTTCTTCTCGTCCTCTACGATGTAAGTGTCCATGGTACTCCCAATGCGCGTTGTCATGTCTAACAACAACACCAGGGTGGTGTCCACGCTGAGCAGGAGCCTCGCATGCTCGGAACTACCGAGAACGAGCTAGGCATCAGGAAGTGGATCGAGGAGCAAGGCCACGAGCTCGTCACCACCTCCAACAAGGAAGGCGAGAACTCCGAGTTCGACAAGCACCTTGTTGATGCTGAGGTTATCATTACCACTCCGTACGTCAGAGCTACCCCGCAATGCCGCTAAGCGCCCCACATGCACGCGTCAAGCTTCGGCCGGACGCGCTAAGGCTGCAAACACCATCCGAGCCAGCATCAGCTAACAGATCGCGATCAACAGCTTCCACCCCGGTTACCTCACCGCCGAGCGCCTGGCCAAGGCTAAGAACCTCAAGCTTGCCGTCACTGCTGGTATCGGATCTGACCACGTCGACCTCAATGCCGCCAACAAGACCAACGGCGGTATCACCGTCGCCGAGGTTACTGGCTCCAACGTCGTCTCCGTCGCCGAGCACGTCGTCATGACCATCCTGACCCTTGTCCGCAACTTCGTCCCCGCCCACGAGCAGATCGCCAAGGGAGAGTGGAACGTCGCCGAAGTCGCCAAGAACGAGTACGATCTCGAGAACAAGGTTGTCGGTACCGTCGCTGTTGGCCGTATCGGTGAGCGTGTGCTCCGTCGTCTCAAGCCCTTCGACTGCAAGGAGCTCCTCTACTTCGACTACCAGCCCCTTTCCCCCGAGAAGGAGAAGGAGATTGGCTGCCGTCGCGTCGAGAACCTCGAGGAGATGTTGGCCCAGTGTGACGTTGTCACCATCAACTGCCCGCTCCACGAGAAGACCCGCGGTCTCTTCAACAAGGACCTCATCTCCAAGATGAAGAAGGGCTCATGGTTGGTTAACACCGCCCGTGGTGCCATCGTCGTCAAGGAGGACGTTGCCCAGGCTCTCAAGGACGGCCACCTCCGTGGATACGGTGGTGACGTCTGGTTCCCTCAGCCCGCCCCCAAGGACCACCCGCTCCGCTACGCCCAGAACCCATGGGGCGGCGGCAACGCCATGGTTCCTCACATGTCCGGTACCTCGATCGATGCCCAGGAGCGATACGCCAACGGCACCAAGGCTATCCTCGACGAGTACTTCTCCGGCCGCGAGAACTATCGCCCGGAGGTAAGATTATTTCCCTTACGAATTGCATGAGACACATACTAACTTGGTTTCACAGGACCTTATTGTCCACAAGGGCGACTACGCCACCAAGGCGTACGGTCAGCGCAAGTAGAGGAACGGTCTCCTTCTGCAGCCTTCTGTCTTCTTTGAGCGATTTGGCACGAATTTCTTTGTTTAGGCTTGGGCGTCGAATGGGTATTTCCGCCTACCTATGTACATGAATATATCCACTTGAACTCCAACTCCAACTCCAGCCGATGATGTGATGCATGAGAAAGTCCCAAATTGTAGGCAAAGTGATGTAAACACCTCATACGAAAAGTTCGGACACCTACCTCCTGGAAGTCTACATCACCTCAGGGCTTTACATAACTTCAGCTTTTATGCTGATGTAGACGGCAGTGCAGTTGTTCGTGTTTTCTTGTATGAGGAAGGGTATTATAGAAATCATCGATGTCGTGACAAGGACCGCCGCCTCTCGTCTTCATGCTCATCTTCACTGTCATCCTTGAAGCCTTCCTCCAGCTCACGTCCTAACCGCCGTTCTTCCTCCATGATGCTGCGGCGTTGTTCGAGGGCTTCTCTTCTCCTCTCATCGATGGGGTCAAAGCCCACCATGCCCTCTCCCTCCTCGTCGTCGAACAAGTCGTCGTCGTGTTGTCCGCTCCCATCCACAATCGCGCGCTGTCTGACCCACGCGGAAGGCGCGAAGAGGTTGTAGAGGGCATCGGAGAGGTTCGTCCGCCAAGAGGACGGGAAGTCGGTCACGCTCGCGGGCATAGGCAGGTACTGGCTATAACGGCTGCGGTGCCGGCGCACAAAGGGCAGCACGAGGAAGACTAGCAGGACATAGAGGAGGGCAGCGAGGAAGAGTGGTACGAGGATGGTCTGGAGGCGCATCGTCAGCCTCCACATGGGGTTGGTGTGCGCGGTGGGTCGCGTTATGCGCTCACCGCCCAAGCTTCCTGTACGTGACAGCTGTCACTCACCTTGAGGAAATGGGTAAAGCCGGCCATGGCTGTGGATGCATGTGCTAGTGAGGGTGCGTGAACTGGCGGAGCGCGTCCTTTTGATCGCCTAGGGCTGATGCGAGGCCGGGGCTGCTAGCCGTGGGTGGTGTACGTGGACAGCAGACGTGGTGTTGAGACGCAGTGCGCCAGGCGTGAGGAAGGTGCGACGGGCGAGTGTGCAGGTGCTGTGCCTGCTGCGCCACAGACAGGCGGGAGGTACTGGATGTGCCGGGAATAGTTACTGTCGATGTCGAGGCCGATGGGAGGACGGCCGTCGCGTAGGCCGGCTAGGGGTTCGTCTGGGCATGGATGGCAGATGGCGCCACAACACGGACGTGCGCACGTCTCAGGAGAACGTCGGAGCCAATGCGGCCATGGCGGGTGGTTCGCGTGCTTGCATATCCACGCGGAGCAGCCCTGGCGCGCTGTAACTATGAGACGTGGTGAATCGGCGCTGTGGAGATCAAATGGCCGCGTCCCAGTCCTGTCTACTTGCCATGCAGTCACACGGGGGGCGCTAGTTAGTTACAGTATTCGGCAACTTCCCACTCCCTCTCTCGCAGCCGCATTGCTGCCACGACGGCGCCCCAGGAATTGCTTCTCACCTTCGACTCACCGCACGCAGCCCCGCACGCTCGTTTCAGGACCACACACGCCCGCTGAGGCAGCGGCATCGTCACCTGCGCCGTAGCAGCGAGGCGGGACGCATTGCTCCGCGAAGGAGGGGGACGCAGACACGTCGGGCGGCGCGCTCCCAAGGCGGCAGAGCATTGGGCATAGGCTCTCGCTATAGGCATGGACAGCAAGGGTCGGCAATCTTCCGCCGGCAAGTTCTTCGGACGACGCCTGCACAAAGACAAGGACAAGAACACGGGCGACGCCAAACACACCACCACATCGTCCACCGACAGCCCCCCGGGGAGCTCCCATGGCTCGCTCTCGTCACGACACTCACACAGACACTCCATCGGCGGCGCTTCGATAGACCAGCGGCCCGTGTCCATGACGGCCGAGGGCATCTTCGCGCGAGCTGGCCCCGTATCCTCCATCGACCCCCCGCGAGACGACGCCTCCAAGAACGCCGAACCGCTGCCGCACCACCTCAACAAGGGCGGCGGCGACTTCCATCAGTACCCCGTCTTCAACGCCACCGCAATGCCCCAGAACGGCTACTCCAACCCGGGGCCGCCGCGCCCACCGCCCCATTCCCTCGGCACCACCATCGCCTCGAGCAACCCAGGCGACCGCGGCGTCTCGATGCAGCAGTGGGGCGCGCGCGGGAGCAGCAGGGACGGCAACTACTCATACTACGCCGGCACTGACTCCTCCAACAACACGCGCACCTCGTCCGACCAGGCCAGCATCTACAGCAATGACTCCAAGTCGCGCGGCAGCAACGTCTTCTACCCGCAGAACCCATCTCAGAGCACCATCTCCTCCATAGGCCTCGATGCCGGCAGCCTCCTCCCCACCGCCGTGTCCACCCCCCGCGACTCGCACCGCCATCTGCTGCACTACAACTCCTCCTCGCCCTCCGCATCGCAGACCTCGTTCAACCAGAACACACTCAGCATACAACGACCGCCAGACCATGTCGTAGAGAAGGAGTTCATGAACCTCATGGTGAAGCGAGGATGGAAGAGCTTACCAGAGCAGGCGCGGCGGCAGATGGAGGCCTACAAGATTGACAAGAAGTGGACCCTCGTCTACCAGGACAAGCTGGCCGAGTTCAAGCACGAGGAGAAGAAGCGCCAGACGCAGCGGATAACCTACGGCGGCCCCGGTGCCGGTGGTGGCCAAGACATCCTCATGCGCGCAGAAGAGGAGGGCTCGCCCGAGTGGTACGTCAAGAAGGTCATGGACAACTCCATATCTATAAAACAGATGTCGAGTTTGGAGATCAGTCTACGAACACAGCCCATCGCCTGGGTCAGGGGCTTCATCGAAGCGCAGGGTCAAATCGCCCTCACGAACGTGCTGGCCAAGATCAACCGCAGGAAGACAACAGGGCCGGCGCCCCCTCCCAGCGTGATGGCGCAAAAGGCAGAGAACGACGTCGAACGCGAATACGAGATCATCAAGTGCTTGAAGGCCCTGATGAACAACAAGTACGGTGCCGACAACGCCCTCAACCATCCGTCCATCATTCAGGCGCTGTGCGGCTCTTTGATCTCCACACGGCTCAACACACGAAAGCTTGTCTCAGATGTCTTGACCTTCTTGTGCCACTGGGGTAACGGAAGCGGACACGAGAAAGTACTACAGGCACTCGACAACCTCAAATCGCAATACGGCGAAAGCAGCCGTTTCGATGCATGGATGCGCATCGTCGAAGTCACGGTCGACGGCCGTGGCAAGATGGGCTCCATGGTAGGCGCTTCAGACGAAGTCCGCAGTGGAGGTATCGGCGTAGAGAACCTGCTCATGGAATACGCCATTGCGACACTCTTCTTGATCAACATGGTTGTGGATGCCCCGGAGCGCGACCTGCAGCTCAGGATGCACGTGCGAGCTCAGTTCACAGCATGTGGCATCAAGCGCATCTTCAACAAGATGGAGGGCTTCCAGTACGATGTCATCGACAAGCAGATCGAGCACTACTTGGACAACGAAGCTGTCGACTATGAGGATTTCCTTCAGAAGGAGAACAGCTCCATGGTCGAGGGCGTCGAAGGCGAAACCAAGGATCTCAACGACCCTCTGCAAATCGCAGATGCTATCATGAGCAAGATTGGTGGCACTCGCGCGCAAGACTACTTCACGTCAGCTATGCAACACTTGCTGTTGATGCGCGACACGGAGAGCGAGGATCGATTACGCATGTTCCAATTGGTGGACCAAATGCTGAGCTACGTGGCTATGGACCGCCGACTGCCAGACATGGACCTCAAGCAGAGTCTGAACTTCACTGTGCAATCTCTGCTTGACAAGCTGTACACCGATTCGGAAGCCCGACAGGTTCGCGATGAAGCAGTCGAAGCACGACAAATAGCAGACTCGGCTATTGCAGAGCGCGATGAGATGAAAGCGCAGCTGGAGCTGGGTGCAGATGGCTTAGTCTCCAAGCTGCAGAAACAACTTGCGGAACAAGAACGTATCATCGAGCTCCGTGGTAGGCAAGTAGAGACCATGAAGGCCGAACTAGCGGAAATGCAGAGGATACGAGCACAAGAGCTGCAACGCAACGAACTGGAGACGCGAGAACTGTACTTGATGCTTAGGGATGCTCAGGACGTCGCAGCGTCGGCAGCGAAGAAGTCTGGTAAAGACGGGCTCGCTACCACCGATCCAGCTCAAATGCAGGGTATCATGGACCGCGAACGTCTGATGAACAGACTGGAGATCCAACTGCAACGAGCCAGGACACAAGCAACACTGGAGGGCAAGTCCCTGCAGATGCAGCCCAGCGAGAAGCTTAGGGAACTGCGAGAAAAGATGGAGGGCGACATGCCTGGCATGACCGAACAGGGCTATGGTGGCCTCGAAGCCAGCTCATTCGGATCAGTACGTGCCAAAAGTGGAGTGCCCCGCAGGAAGCCCCTCCCTGGTCTTCCTGGCCAGATTGGTGAGGATGCTGAGATGTCGGAGATGGACGATGATGATGCTGTCATTGAGAAGCCCCGTCTGATCCAGATGCACAAGCCAAAGCTCAGCACTTCGACAGCCAATGCCCTCATGGCGGATATCACGGCGAACGTCAAGCGATACGAAGATTCTGATGCCGAAGGGGATGGCGTTACTACAGGACCATCGCATCCCAGCCTCGAATCCGACTCACCAAAGACACCTGGCGATAATGAGGCACCCAAAGCCAACATTCCTCCACCTCCACCCCCGCCTCCTGGTGCCCTTGGATTCTCGAACAACATTCCTCCTCCGCCTCCTATGCCCGGTACTGCTGGACCTCCACCACCTCCGCCGCCGCCGCCTCCGCCAGGCAAGCTTGGCTTTAAGCCCGGAATTCCTGCACCACCTCCTATGCCTGGAGATGGCAGCATGCCACCTCCTCCACCACCGCCACCACCAATGCCAGGTGCCAAACGTCCTGGATTCATGCCCAAGGCGCCTGGATTTGGAGCTGCCCAACAATTTGCTCTTTCTGGACCGCGACCGAAGAAGAAGCTCAAGGCCCTGCATTGGGACAAGGTCGACCAACCTACTACCACTGTCTGGGCCACTCGCGGTCTCAGCTCGGAAGAGAAAGAAGAGAAGTACCAGGAGTTGGCAAGGAAGGGTGTTTTGGAGGAAGTCGAGAAGCTCTTCTTGGCAAAGGAGATCAAGGCGATTGGCAAGAAATCTGGCAAGAAGGACGACAAGAAGCAGATCATCTCTCGCGACCTCATGCACAACTTCCAGATCAGTATGGCCAAGTTCTCATCGTATGGAGTTGAAGATATCGTTAGGATGATCATCCACTGCGACAACAAGATTCTGGACGATCCTGTCACTATGGAGTTCTTGCAAAAGAACGACTTCTGCGATATTCCCGATAACACCGCCAAGCTCATGGCTCCCTACTCGAAGGACTGGACTGGACCCAATGCTAGCGAGAGCAAGCGCGAACAGGACCCGAACGAACTCACACGAGAGGATCAGATCTACCTTCTCACTGCCTACGAACTGCACCACTACTGGAAGAGCAGGATGAGGGCGCTTGCGCTGACTCGCACGTACGAAACTGAGTACGACGAGATTTCCAACAAGCTGCTGGAAATCTCAAGGGTATCTGAGAGCCTGCGTGATTCGTCAAGCTTGATCAGTGTTCTGGGTCTCATTCTCGACATTGGTAACTTCATGAACGATGCCAACAAACAAGCCAGTGGTTTCAAGCTCTCTACTCTAGGGCGACTGGGTATGCTCAAGGATGACAAGAACGAGTCCACATTCGCCGATGTCGTTGAAAGAATTGTCCGCAACCAATACTCTGGATGGGAAGGCTTCACCGACGAGATCAGTGGCGTTGTAACAGCCCAGAAGATCAACGTCGAGCAACTTCAGACCGATGC